TTAGATCATCATGTTCAAAACCAAACTTCCATCTGCCCTTAATCTCTGAGAGTTCCTATTTTCTATAAACATCTTTAACATTTTTGAGCTGTCTGCCAATCTGTCTGACAAGCAATTCCTGAAATGCTCTTTCCCTGTTATTGATGACACTGTACTTCCCAGAGTCTTCCTAGCTATGTAACTTTTTTCTCACCTATTTTTAAAGCCTCTTTGGATACCCCTTGAAGAGTCCTCAAGAAGAAAAGGGAGGATTTTGATAAAAAGCATCTACAGAAGTTAAATAATTATGAACAAGGTAAGCACGCACCAGAAGAATCTCCTGCCCGTTTTCCCTCTCATTCTCCTCGGGGGGTTTAATCAGATAGCAGTGGTTGCAGCATTTTTTCAGTTCCATCACAATATTAAGGAAGCCAGATGTGCTGCCCCTTGTTCCTTTGGCAAGAGCCTTGTAATTCCTGGTCAGAATCCATCTGCAAATGAAGATGACGGTAATATTATTCGAATTCAAAGAGATAAGAATTGGTGGTATTCTATGAAGCACTCACACTGAATCTGAGTCTAATCAGCCCTCTACACTCATCTGGGAATGCAGAGGACGCAGAGTGTTCAGAGTAAAACAGCCAGTGATGCCCCGGGAATCAGCCAGCTCCAGGCTGTGAGGAAAATCTATACAACACAGACTCAGTTTCTTCACTCAAGGACTTCAGCAAGGACATGGGAGAGACATCCCCAGCCATCATAATACATGGAGCTTACTTAGCTCCCAATGCAAACAAGTGAAGGGTATGTCTATGACAACCAAGAAAATATATACACTCACTAGACATTAGAAAAATGTTAGGGAAGTATTACCTTTTTTAGGCATGTTAACAGTACTGATATTGTGCTTAACTTTTTAAACGGAAGTATAACTGACATATAACATTATATTAGTTTCAGGTGTACAACACAAGTATTCAGTATTTGTATATATTGTGAAATGATCACCACAAGAAGTCTGGTTAACATCCCTCCTCACCATACACGGTTACAAATTTTTTTTCCTTCCGATGAGGGCTTTTAAGATCTATTCTCTTATCAATTTTCAATATGAAATATAGTTTTATCAACTATAGTCATCACGCTGTACATTACATCCTGGGGAGGACTTACTTATTTCATAACTACAGGTTTGTACCTTTGAGCCCCTTCACCTGTCTCTCACCCTCCATTCCCTGCCAAGTGATATGGGGGTGGAATGGGGATGCAGAAGATGTGGATGAACTGAGCCTGACCGTGAGGTNTCTGCAGATTACATTCTTAAATAAAACTGCCTTTACAGAACTGTTACTATAGCCCTGTTCTAACAATAAAATTCTGGCTAAAGAATAATCTACCTCTTGTAATTGTAGACGTCAAATGTGACTTGTATTCATCTTTTGTTATTGGTATACATTGAGTATTACAATTTTAATACAGTTTCCCTTTCTTAAAATGTGTATACATTTTTTTAGCATCCTCTGTTATTTCACCAAAACTGAATCTGTGGCCGAGTAAGAAACGAATGAGCTACCCAATACTTGAGTAGACTTTGGGATTCATATACAAAGGAAACAAGTGTGTACTTTTCCAACATACCTCAGAGCTAAGATTGGTTATGTATAATACAAATAGACTATCTTGAACAATGTTCAAGTACTTAACAACTTTTCCATATTGAAATAGAAGGGAAATTTCAGTCCTGAGTCTACTATTCATCATGTATCTGTACGTGACATACTTTTCAAACAGTGAAAAAGAATAGTCCATAAGAGGCTCATCTTTGCCCCAAAGACAGCTTCTTTGTACTAGTTAAACAGACACCTACCCTTGGGAAAATGAAAGCAAAACAGGAAAATAAGCACTCTGCAAACATCCTGAGAGGCCTGAGTAACCCCTCGCCCAGCCCCCCATGCCATATCCAGAGGCTGCCCCCCACTGACCTGCTTCTTCTGACCAATTCTGTGGGCTCGGGCTTGTGCCTGCAAGTCGTTCTGGGGGTTCCAGTCAGAGTCAAAGATGACGACTGTGTCCGCTGAAGCCAAATTGATTCCCAGGCCACCAGCCCTTGTCGAGAGCAGGAAACAGAAGTCCTGTACACAATGCAATATACTACTTTATGCAGTGGCCTTCTCAGAAACAGTCTCACAGTCCAATAAGCCCTGACACCTGGAAACCCCTGCAGGTGTGAAGAAAAGTGAGATATGATGGACAAACTTTATGGAGGCTAAAAGAATGTCAGGGACTTTGATGGCAGAGTGAATTTTCATTTGATTAAGAAGTAAGAGTCAGTGCAATGAACTAAGCAGTCAAGTAGGATCTGATAAGGCAACAAAAGCAAAAGAATTAGTGTCCTCGCCTGGCTGAAACTACTACAACAAGCATTCACAAGAACCAGACAAAGTTATTTATCAGGGGGATCGTTCCAATGAGCTGCCTAGATCCTGATTTTCTTTGGGAAAGGTGCGTTATTGCCATGTAAGGCAGTCAGGATAAACAAGGAAACTGTATTATGTAAATGTCCATCCCTTAGATGGGCTGGTGAGGAAAAAGAGACGGTGCCCTCACAATCACATGAGGGAACTCCTGAGAGGCCAAAGGGCCTCAGTCACCATAGAACACCACAGAGACAACCAGAGCAGGGCTGGCTGAAGAGCCACATGGGGGAAGGACCCAGGCACTGACACATGCCAGTTTCCACAGCAATGACAACAGAGAGAGGCAGGCCTGCATCTGAGGGCTCATAACAACAACAGGCGCAGGAGGCAGGCGAAAAGCTAGATAAGCCACAGGAAAAGAAGCCAGACTTCTATATTCAGGGGGTTTGATCATGTCTGTCCAGGGCCGACCCCTTTATGACACAGAAGTGGCACTCAAAAACTGGCAGACCTGAGCTACATCAATCTAGGGTCTGAAACGGTCATTTTAGCCATTTTCAATGTCACTCTTATCAAAGATAATATGAATCATCGTAAGATGTTACTTGTGTCTATTATCATGTTGACAAAGATTAAAAATGATGAAACTCAGTGCTGCTCAGGGTGAGATAAAAAGAAAATTCACATTTAAAATAGTATGAACATAAATCGGAGAATGTAATTTAGCAAAATGTATCAAAAAAATCTTTTAAAAGTGCTCAAAACCTCTTAACTAAACACCCAACAAAATGGTTAAACAAATAATGGTGCAGGCATAATAAAATATTAGAAATT